AATGACTTATGCACAATTTTGGAAGCAGGATAGAATACCAGAAAAATGGGAATGGATACAGAATGTGTTATTCATGGCTGAAATGGACAAATTAACGAAGAAACTTAACAACAAAGAAGATCAAGAATTTTTTGAAGAATGGAAAGACTTTAAAGAATATCTATAAAATAACTGGGATGTAAAACATAATTTACTTTGTTTTGATAATTATTAAGGGCAGAAACATATAAAGGTTTAGAATGTTTAGATTAAGATATTGTTACCTTGAACTTAAAATGAAAATGGGAGAGGAAAAATAGAAATACAGTTTGGAAAGGGGGAGAAGCATTGCGGGAAGCCACAAAAGGGGGGAGAGGGGATAAGAGAAATGGATATGTGATAAAAGAAATGTAATGTAATGTTGAATGTGTTGTTATATCCAAAATAAAAGTTTTGATTCTAAAAAAAAGTGAGACTAATTCATGCTTATTTAAAATGACAGAAAGCTGACATAGTAGTGTCGCAAGAGACGCATTTGAGAAATAATGTTAATTATTTGTTTAAATCTAAATGGTATTCTCAAAGCTGTGATGCTCCAGGGTCTTCAAGAGAACAAGCAGTGGCGATTCTTGTGTCTAAAAACAACAGGTTTACATGTCAGGAGGTAGAAAAAGATGTGAAAGGCAGATAATTATTTGTAAAAGGTATTTTAAATGAGGCTAAAGTGACTTTATCAACTGTCTATGCCCCAAACTCAGGTCAACTGGGGTTTATCAAGGAAACCCTACAAAAGCTCCAACTTTTTCAAGAGGGGCCAATATTGATGGGTGCAGATTTACATTATATAATGAATGTGAACTTGGATAAATAATCTCTAAAGCCAAGCCACTCTAAACATTCTAAGTGCCAATTTACTGGACTTAAAAAACGTTATGCAACAATTAGGTTTAGTGGACTCTTGGAGAACATTTCATGAGAATGATAGGGATTATGTATTTTTCTAATAGATTCCAAACACATACTAGAATCGATTATGTTTTTATATCCAAGTCTATTATTAACAAACTAGTTGCAGCTGAAATAGATCCTAAGTGCTGGTCTGATCATGCTTCAGTGCAGTGTTGGTTGAACTTTAATGAGAATAAAGACAAAAGCTTTACATGGAGGTTTGGAAAACTGGAGAAGACCCTGATGCTGGGAAAGATTGAAGGTCAAAGAAGACGGGGATGGCAAAGGATGAGATGGTTAGACAGTGTCATAGATGCAATGAACATGAAATTGAGCCAACTTCAGAGGACGGCGGAAGACAGGAAGGCCTGGTGTGATCTGGTCCATGGGGTCGCAAAGAGTCGGACTCGACTGTGCGACTGAACAACAGCAGCAATTTTACAGGGATATCTAAAGGAGAAAAACAAACTAGAATTTGAGCACAAAGTTAAATTACCCTGGTTTGAGTATCTTCAATTGCATAACTTGATCAATGCTCATACCTTTCAGGATTTGTGTTTAGCATTGACAGATTTTGAAAAATTAGTATATTATGCATCTACACCTCTAAAGGGAATGATATCCAAGTTCTACATTATGCTGTCTGATTTTAAACCTAAAAAATCATTATGCTATCAACTGGCCTGGCAGGCTAACATTGGTCAGGATATAGGAGAAGACCAGTAGTTACTAATCTGGAGCTCATCTGTCTATCTTACCCCACCATTGAATATACAAATTCAGACATATAAAGTTATTGCTAGGTGGTATCTGACTCCTGTTCAACTAGCCCACTCTACTAGTAAAGTTTCTTTCTTATGTTGGAAGGGTTGTGGGAAAAAAGGGACCTACATTAATAATTGGTGGACATGCCCAATAAATTAAAACCTTTTGGAGTCAGATACTACTTGAAATCAGATTATTATTGGGCATCCAAATTCTACAAGATCCTAAAATAGTTCTATTAAACTTATGGGAAGACTATTAAGTTACCTAAATGTACTCAAGATTTGGTTTCAGTAATGTTTACAGTGGCAAAGAATGTTTTAGTGACAAAATGGAAAGATGGTGATCCCCCCAACCATATCCTCTTGGCTCTAAATCATATTTTGTTAAGAAATGGTTGCCCTTTGTTAAAAATGACTTCTGTGGTAGAAACCTTAACCATTCTATGGACTTATATGAGACGGAATCTTTTTTATTGTTGACCTAACATTTTGAAGCTTACCTGATGAGCACGATTTGTGTAAGTTGGTCTTTGTACTGTTATATGTTTAAGCTTTCATTTGAAACATTGATCTGTATTTCTTATTTGCATTTTGAAAATTTACTATTGTAATCTTCTTAGCTGTTTAACCATGTAAAAACTCAATAATTTTTTTTAAAAAAACATCCTGTTATGATAGAGGAGGAAAACAGCCACTCCATCTGAGTATGTAGTATAGTGTTGCCTTTACCCACTCCAGAGTCCCAGGGGCTATCCTTCCCCTTCCATCCTAAGGACCAGTAGGAAATACTGACCCCCCTCCCAGTAGTTTCCAGGAATAGCATTCCTTTCCTCTGGTGTCAGGTGGAGCATACTAGATGTCACTACTACTCCAGGGCTAGAAATTCAGGCAGAAGTCACCACAGGCCACATTAGGGTTGCCAGGTATTACCTGTGTCCCAGTGGGGGCTCCAGCCCAGCTTTCAGGGTCTTCCGGTGCATGCACAAAGCGTGTGCACTGCAGTGATGTCACCTGGAAGTGATGTCATCATACCAGACACGTTGTTCAGGGGATGCTCTAGCATTTGGGTAAAAAACTGTATGGTCACCATAGAGTTTTTACCCAAATGCTAGAATGACCCCGCATGACATACCTGGCATGATGATGTCACCTCTGGGTGATGTCATCTGCCAGGGCTCTTCGGGGGTGGGGTTCCCCTGGTGGCCAGCTGGCTGGCAGTGCATTGGGGGCCCCAAAAGTGGGGAAAACCCCACCCTCATCGGGGTGATGGCAACCCTAAACCATATTTAGCGTCCAGTGGCACCTTTTAAGACCAACAAAGGTTTATCCAAGGTATGAGCTTTCATGCACATGCACACTTTTTCAAATACATTGGAATGCACATGAAAGCTCGTATCTTGAATAAACCTGTTGGTCTTAAAGGACTCTAAATTTGTTCTACTTCTTCAGACCAACACCGCTGACCAACAGAACCCTAGACCACATTCACATACAAGTACAGGCATTGAAAACACAGCAAATCCCATTATTACAGCTGCTTTTGCATTCACTACCTATGTTGCAGCAGATGCAGCTACAACAGTGTCTTGTCAGATCACCCAGGAAAGAGAGGGATCCCAGACCTTGGAAGTGATTTTATAAACAGATGACATCATGCCCACCTCTTTTATGGGAACAGCCAAATTCCCAAGGCCATTGGAATGCTATTTATGCTTTCAGCTTTCAGCTTGTATCCCGCTCGAACCCCCCAAGGGGTCTCTGAGCAGCTTACAGTTACTCTTTATCCCTATCTATGGCCACATATAGTCAGGGTGGGGACTGCCCTACCGGCACCCAGTGGAGGGACCTTTTGCTGTTCTTCTCTCTCGGTTCGGCCTCTTGTCGGCTCGGCTTTCGGTTTTTCTGGCTCCTCAACTTCTCCTTCTCGTGGTCTTCGGCGTTGGCTGTGATCGGCGGGCCTATCTGGCGCGCAGTTCGCGTCAGCGCGGCTCTGGTTCTGTCCATTTGGCTCCGCCGCACCTGAGCCTCTGCGTTCTTTGCGTCTCCTGGCTCCGCCTTCCGCCGACGTCCGATTCACCGCTGATGTTGCGCCTAGTTGCCATTTTGCTGCTCGCCGCCGATGCTCCATCAGCCCCCACAACGGGGAAGGGTGCCCCCTGCTACCTAGGGCAGGTACCCATTTATCTACTCGCTTTTTTCGATGTTATTTGTTGCTTTCGAACTGCTGGGTGGGCGGGAGCTGGGAGTAGGGCCAGGTGCTCACCCTGGCCGCGGTGAGTTTCGAACAGCTGTAGCAGCTGTTCGCAGATGTTACCAGCAGGTGTTTAACCGCCTGCGCCACCGCTCCCATTGCCACTGGAATGCTATTCTGTGCTTAGTATTTGAGGCATTCAGTCAAAGATTGGGTCATCCGATCCCTCTTTATCTTGAGCTCCCAGGGATGCTTCCTGCATTCCAAAATAATCCAGGTCCTATTCGCTGTGAATTCAAGGGAGGACAGGATTAGAGCAGAAAGCAGATGGGAAGCCTCCTGGGGAACTCTATGTATGCCACTTCAGGCTCCATCATGGAACAAACATGGAAATGTTTTCTTTGCTAATGAAACTATTCTAGTGTTTGCTGCATGAGTATGACCAGACAGTGGAACTTTTTCTTTCATTTCCTTGCTGTTAACTATAAGCTTTTATATATACATAGTTTGCAGTTGGTGTCCATATCTAGTAGTGCTTCCTCTCAAGGTAGTGGGACTAGCCTGTCATTATGAGTGGGGTGGAGGAAAGGAGGTTGTATATTTGAGGGACCCTGTGGTCTGCACTGATTCTCTGTGGGATGAGATGATACACTGTTTCCATGAAGTTCCTGTTAGTTTAGGATCTCTTGCTGTGAGAGGTAGGAATGTGCATTTGCCTCCCACTGCACCATTGATCACAAGTGCATTGCTCATGCTGTAGGAGAGAATGGTAGCCAGACCCTTATACGAGAGAAAGTACAATGGTGCTCAAGGACACCATTGTGGTGGGGCTTAAAGCTGCTTCCTATCCTTGGATCCCTCTTTCTCTCCTGGGGGATCTGAGGATTACATTTTAACATTTCTCTGATTGTAGCTTTATAAGAACTAAACCAGCCTTATCTGCAGTGACACACCCTTTCACTTGCATATCCTTTATTCATGATGTGATTCCTCTTTTTGCCAAAGTTTCAATGGAATCTCTTAGCTATTATACACATTAGTATTTTGATGATTGATCATTAGATCAGAAAATTATTCTTCCAGAGACTTACCCTTTTTCTTTTCTAACACTGTAGGGCACCTCGATTTAAAGGATTTCAACAACAGGACAGCCAAGAAGTTCTTCATTATTTGCTGGATGCAATGAGAATAGAGGAAACAAAGGTGAAGTATTTATATACTAGTTACGTGCAATGTTCCTTCTAAGCTGCGGAGTCTCGTGAGCAAAAATTCTACTTTGTGAGCTACTGGCATTAAAGCTGTGAGCAAACAATTTGGCTGCTGCATAAATTAGTTTGCTCTGGAGCCCTTCTTCCTGAGCTAAGGCAAAAATGTGTGAGCTGGAGGCTAAAAAACTGTGAGCTAGCTCACACTAACTCAGCTTAGAGGGAACACTGGTTACGTGTTGTTTGAGCAGCCTAGTAGAATTAATTTTTGGGTCCCCAAAAGGCTTCTTTAAAAGTGGACGCAACCTGTTTCAAAGCTGGAACAACTATCCCCTCTCTCAAGGAGGCATTAACCACCTCTTGTACCCAGTGAGTCAGCCAGCCAGCCAGGCCCACCCCCAGCAAATTTAAGTAGCCAGGAAGAGCAAGGGTCATACAAGTAGGTGGTATGTAGGCCTCAGACTTCTGAGGATCCTTTCCACATCCTCAGACCGAATAAACTGAAAAGTATGCCAAACAACTGGACACGTCACCCTGGAACCATCTGACCCTGTCACTGCTAATGTAGAGTCCAAGTTGGAACAGATGTGAGAAATTTTATCTGCAAAGTGCTGAGCAAAATGGTCACAGTGGCAAATGAGCAGTCCACTTCCTTCTAGAGGTCCAACAGGTCTTTGACCACTCCATAGCCCATTCTAGTGACCACTCCGCTGGCCTACATTGTGCAGAAACAGTGGTGGCAAAAAAGTGTTGTTTCTTTGCTGCCATTACTACCATGGAGTATGCTTTAAAATGAGCTTTCACCTGTATCTTATTGGACTCATCTGGAGTTTTCTCTGCTGTTACTCTAGCTGTCTTCTTTGGTCGAATCTGCATTTGCATTTTTAAATTAGTTTCATGCTGCTGTGATGCTGTCTTTCTCTATGCTTGTTTGAATGTTGTTTGGAGAAGATTCTTTTAAAGCAGTGCAGAGGTGCAATGACAGTGGAGCCGCCCCAAAGGACGATAAACATATGTGGACGTGCAAAAGTATGCTAGCACTCTTGAGGTGTGAAAACGACACCAAATGTAGACAGGTTTTTTGAAGATGGAGTCAAAAGGCTGGGACACTGGTGGGAAAGACAAATGCAGTTTCAGCCTTTGTCTTTTCATCACCTGCAGCCATCAGAAAGCCATTTGGATCCATCTGGCTTTTGGGGTAGATCATTTTAATTCCCAACTCCTGCAGAGTTGTAGTATCCCTGTAAGTCTGTATCTGAGCAAATAATGATCTGCAACAAAGGAATTGTCATCAACTCCTCCCCTCTCAGACAGCATAAATTTCCTTTGGAACAAGAATAATAATATCAAAACTTCAAAATAAATAAAAATGAAATAAAATAATTAAAAATAGAGGAGGAAAATTCCCCCCAAATGTTGTATGCACTTGTTCTTGTGGGGAACCAGATGTATGGGGGGGGGGGGTGGATGGCAAGCAGGCAGCAGGCAGGCAAGCAAGCAAGATTCTCTGTCCTGTGACTTTTTCTGAGGAGAGGAGCCCGAGCTGCTGTAGTAGCTGCATCAGCTAGGCCCACAAAGGCAGCAGAGTGGAGGGTGAATGGGCAGGCAGAGTAGTGGGGAGGGGTGGGGGTGGGAAAGTGAACAAATAGTGCAGCAGCAGGGCTTTGCTGCCACTGGGATCTTGGTCCCCGTTTGTCCTATCTATAATGTTTCCTTATTTATGTGGATGTTAGTTCTTTTAAGGGAATGATGCCTGTTGTGTTTTACATTATATTGACACTGAGATTATAGCTGATATGGGTCTGGCCTTAAAGTTAACTCAAGACACTCCAGCTGGTACAGAACATCACAGTTCAGTTACTATCAGGAGCTAGGTGGAGCATGCATATCACACCCAGTCTGTGGTCACTCTGTTAGTTACCAATCAATTTAGCAGGCTAAAGTCAAGGTACTGGGTATCACCTTTAGAGCCCTTAATGGCCTTGCCCCCACATTCCTGCAGGATGACCTCTCTTGCTATGCTCCTCCGCCACAGCTTCACTCATCTGAGCAAAGCCTTCTAAAAATGCCACCCTATAAATGGGTAAGATTGGCGGCTGCCCATACACATGTGTTCTCATTTGTGGCTTCCACATTGTGTGTTGGCCTTCCTGAGTAGGTTAGGAAGGCTTGTGTACTTCTGTAATTCCACAGAATATACAAAGTAGAAATGCTCAGGAGGACATTTTTATAAAGGGATTAGAACTGTAGAATAATGGATTCAGGAAGCAAGTTTAATGTACATATTACTGTGCCTCTACTACATGGTCTTCTGTGTTTCTAATCCACTTTCTGCATTCTTTACAGTATATCATGCTTTAGACAGTTTTTTGTTTGCACTGTTTTCTAATTCTGTAATCCTAGTCTGTTTATTGGCTGTTTTATGTCAGCTGATTGCATTTTTAACTATTTTGTAATCTGTCATGTTTTAGTGAGAAAGGTAGGCTATAAATAAAGTAACTTTAAATAAAATTTATATTGATCATTTGGGGGAGAATTTAAGTCACATTCGAATGATTTAATAATGGTTAATAAGAAAATAAAATGTTTCATAAGAAAACTATAAAATGTTTGCTTTATAGAAAATGATTGTATTTTATGAATTAATACATAAAAATTAACACATGCAGTTACCCTTGGTTGAAGGTTTGTTTTAATATTTGTTGGTTCATCAGAAGCTAATAATTCAGTGTTCCACCCTTAATAAAAAGGCAAAGGGGAACATATTGAGTGGTCTTTTCCCCTTTCTCCTCCTCTGGTCCCATTTCCGTCTATGGGGAAACAAAGGTTGATGTCACCCTTGACTATGATGAAGTCCAAGTTTTACCATAATGGTAATGGTTTTACCATAATTACTGTGATTTTATCACCTCAGGCTTCACAGCAAGGAACATTACAAGTAAACGCTGTTTGGTCCCCCCTCCCATGTGTCTCTCTTTTCGGGTCTGTAAACGGTGTGACAAACAAAGTATGTCAGATCTGTGGATCTGGTCAATCTTGTGAGCATTGACAGTTGTGCTGGTCCGAAACAAACAGGAGCTACATTGTCTGTCATGGGAACTCCACAGCTGTTAATCGTGCTATTGTTAGGCGTGTCACTACCATGTGGTTTGGTTTTGTTTTTTATTGGAGGAAGCCTACAGCAATGTGTCTGCCACCAGAATCCTTTAAAAATGATTAGAGGTCTTCTCATTTTCAAGCTGCTTTTAAATATATCTGCTGTGAGTGTAGGTAATAGCTTTGCAACATTTGAAAGTAGTCACTTTTTCACAGACTTTCTGGCTAACAATATAAAATAACTCCCAATCCTGAGATAATCTGTTTGATCTCCTCTGGTGTTTAAGATATAAGTAATAAACTAAAGAAATAATAACAACAATAAACTGTAGTAGTAGTAGTAGTAGTAGCAGCAGCAGCAGTAGTAGCAGCAGCAGCAGCTCTTTCACAGGCCAAAGTGCTACTTAATTACAAAATTTGCATTCTGTAAGAGTGTTCTAACTTGCCTTAGTTGTTGCTTATACTGATTGTCCACTTCTAATTTGGGAATTGAGTTGTTATAATGCTTGGTATTTTATATCTGTATAATTCTAAGTCACATTAATGTATGTAAGTGAACCTTTTAAAAAGTGGAAATGGTGCTACAACAGTCAAAGCTGCAGTGTTATCCCCTTGTAATATTGTGTGCTGGAGATGCTTCACACCAGGGCTTGAAGTATTTGAACCCTGCTGCTAATTGATTAATGTCTGTGCCATTGTTAGCCGCACCCAAACCCTTCAAAGACCATGTCTTTCTTTGACCTAAATAAATGGTTCAGTGCACTAATCCCAACAAAAAGGGAGTCTGTTTATGGCCTTAAACCCATTTATGGTATCCAACTTGCTCAGAGATCAATTGATTACTCCTCTTACTACATTGCTGGAATTAAGGTAAATAAAGAGGGGCTTTAGGCACTGAAAGTTAATTCACTTGCCAGGTCACTTACTTGTGAACTAGAGACTATTACTCAGTCTGTTGGCACACCGGTTGTTGTTGCTCTGTTAATATTTCAAAATAAAACCATAAAGCATTTCCATATTCTTTATATAGGAGCAGAGTCAGAGTACAATCTCTTGTAAATGTTTGTCATAAATATGAGTGCATGTTCCCCGTGACACTGACAGATTTTGTTAGGAGATGTGAGAACTAACTTCATAAAGATCTCTCTGTGGAATTCCCTTGTATATACACCATAGTCACAATAAGTCACGTAGTAACAGACTGCAGACTAGTACTGATAGTATTGGTAAATCTCCTGCTACGCGTGGGCTTTTCTGCTATTTCTTTAGATGTTACATTAGCACTTTAACAGTGGTATTTAGATGTTATTTAGTTTTTGTTGTTCAGTCGCACAGTCGAGTCCAACTCTTCGCAACCCCATGGACCACATCACGCAAGACCCTCCTGTCTTTCACTGTCCTCCAAAATTTGCTCAATTTCATGTTTGCTGCATCGATAACATTGTCTAACCATCTCATCCTTTGCCGTCCCCTTCTTCTTTTACCTTCAATCATTCCCAGCATCAATGTCTTCTCCACTGAGTGCTCCCTTCTCATTTGGTGGCCAAAGTATTTCAGCTTCAGGATCCGGCCTTCCAGAGAAGTCAGGGTTGATTTCTTTTAGGAAATCTGTTTAGTTACAGAATATAATATAATAATGTTATATGATAAATAATGTCAGAACCCTAAAACCTTAGTTCTGTTACAAACTGCTGTCAGCTTCCTTCACACAATTTTTGTTCTTATTTTATAAAGCTTGCCAGTAAGATCAGCCAAAAACAGGAGAAGTGGTAGTGGTAGTAGTTACTATAACTTTGGGCTCTTCTGCATTCTGATTTTCATCACTTGTGTGTCCCTATTGCTTCAGGGTCCCCCCCCCCCAATATGTTTTGCTCTCTCTAGTAGTCCCAGAGGAAGCAAAAC